GCCCTCAGCAGAACCTTCCTCTTGTTTGTGAGGCTTGGGTGCGTGTGAACTTGTCCTTGTTTGTGTGCTCTGTGGTGGTTTGCTTTATTTATAAAGCGGGGCGAAAGCCTTTTTTGATAATGATGGCGTTGGCTACGGACCACTTAAACCCGGTGCTGGCTTCAGTATCACCTGCCACACCCTCGTGACCCTCACGTCGGGCCAAATGGTGTGGAACGAGGACTACAAGATCACCTCGGATGAGCTCTGGTCGCTCAACTCTTCTGAGTGTCTCCCTCGTGACATCCTCATGTTCCCTCAAGTGAACATCGACAACCCACATAAAGTGCACTTCCTTATGAGCGAGTTTGAATGGGCGCTCAAGAAGATGTGGGTGGTCGTCATTAACATGAAGACCAAGACCGTGGATTCATTCCCTAAATATATCAATGGAATGGAGGGCCTTGAAACTGACGACGGTGACTTAACAAGAAAAAGGTCCGAAGCACCCATGTCCTTTCTCCCCTGCGAGTTCTCCAAGTTCCTCCAACCCTCGAGTTGATCATCTGTTTGTCATTTATACATTATCTTTTTTAGAAACATTTAAAAAATTACCTACTCAATACGTTTTTGCTCGGTTGCATATTTCTTACTAGATACATACAAGTTGTTTATCCTTTTTGTATATCTTGTTGGCATTTTAATCTTGTCCTCAATGCCTTCTTTTGTACTCCCTATGTAAACTAATATAAAAGCATTGAGAACACTACTTTAATGATCTAAACGCTTTGATATTACTTTACGGAGGAAGTACTCCCCTATTCTGTAATAGTTGAAGTTTCAGTTTTTTCTAAGTCAAGTGCTTGGACCAAGTTAATGGAGTCAGGCTCAAGCACGACTCTATATAATATATACTCCCACATTGCCCTGCACCTTGCCACCTTCAATCGCTTCCGCTTCAGCTCGAATAGCAATTTTTATGTGTGAAAGCTTGCCAGCTCCAGCTGCAAGAAACTTATGATTCGAGTGCGTGCGTGAAAAGTCCAATACGAGGAGAGAGTGTTCTTTGGGAGTACGTACGTTCCTCGTGGGAGCCTGCGAGATGGAGAAGCTGGCATACATGCATGCCACGGACCAGCAGAAGTTTCGCGCGCATGTACGTACCAGCAGACCACAAGTCCTACTCTTACTAGTGAAGCAACCGATCAGCTGGTCAAACATTCAAGTGGAAAATAACAAGTCCTACTCTTCAACCGATCTGGTCATGGATAAGTTCAGCATATACACACAGCTAGCTTCCCTTCAACACGAACACATGGGACAACCAAATTACTACTAGAGTTCAGTTCAGAACTTGGATCACACGCACACACAAGTAGTAGTAAGAGTACCACAAGATGGCCGGAGGCGAAGAAGAAGAGGTGAAGCTGCTGGGCACGTGGGCGAGCCCGTTCGTCCTGCGAGCGCAGCTTGCTCTCAGCTTCAAGGGTGTGAGCTTCGAGAACGTCGACGAGGACCTCGGCAGCAAGAGCGACCTCCTCCTGCGCTCCAACCCCGTGCACAAGGCGGTGCCCGTGCTCATCCACAACGGCAGGCCCGTCTGCGAGTCGCTGGTCATCGTGCAGTACGTCGACGAGGCCTTCGCCGGGCCGCCCCTCCTCCCCGCCGACCCCCACGAACGCGCCGTCGCCCGCTTCTGGGCAGCTTTCATCATGGACGAGGTGCACCGTTGTGTAATTACGTTATGGATGATGAAATTCAGCCAGGTCGGAGATGTTAATACATGTATGTTGGCGTACGTACGTGCAGCTGGTGGCGCCATGGCAAAAGGTGTTCAGGGCTAAGACCGAGGCGGAGAAGGCCGAGGGGATGGAGCAGACGCTGGCGGCGGTGGATGTCCTGGAGGGGGGCCTCAAGGAGTGCTCCAAGGGCGGGAGCTTCTTCGGCGGCGACAACGTCGGGTACGTCGACGTCGTGCTGGGCGGGGCCGTGCCGTGGGTCTACGGGACGGAGGCGCTCTCCGGTACGATGCTCTTCGATGCCGGCAGGGTCCCGCTTCTGGCAGCGTGGTTGGAGCGCTTTGGTGAGTTGGACGCGGCCAAGGCGGTCATGGCGGACGTCCCGACGAGGCTGGTCGAGCTCGCCAAGATGAAGCAGGCGGAGGCCGCTGCCGCGGCCGCAGCTGCGGCTGGAGATTGCTAAGCCAATGACGCAGCATCATCACTGCCATTGGGTTGTTAACATCTGAAGGAAGAACTAAGGAGACTTGTTCAAAAATAATTGGACGATTGTTTGTTGCAGAATGAATAATAGTTTCTCTATATAGAAATATAAGAGTGTTTAGATCACTAAGGAACAATTTATTTGTAGTGTAATTCACTCTTTATGTTGGTAATTTTTTCAGTCTTGACTCTATCCTATTTCAGTCAATACACTATTATTTCTACTTAGTTTTTTTAAAGACAGAATTTCTGCATTCATTAGTAAGAAAAAAGTTGTTTGGTTAATTAAGCAAAAGCGGGCGAAAACTGAAGTGTGCGGTTAATTATGAAAAGCAGACGAAACCCATCCCAATCACTAAGCAGCACACACAAGATACCCCAGACACACCACAGCAAAGAGGGACTCGCCGAGATAGCACGCAGATGGCATCGTCATCACTTACCCCTAAGAAGGCATCATCGCCATCCCTAAATTCTGAGCAAACAACTCCGACTTCGCCATAGGCGATTGCCGACTCAACCCACACTGTCATCTCATTGTCTACATAGCTAACATGTTCTAGTTTTTTCAATATCTGATTCTACCTTGTTCTAGGTTAGGCAATATGTGAATATACATTCGTACTTTATATTTATGGATTATGTGATTACTTACATGACAACATGATTTTTTTTTGCAAGGTGACCTGATTTAATGGTGTTACTATTTTTGGCAATGTATGATTATTTATTGGGTCCGTTTAGGGCGCATCTGCATGTGGCATAATTAATCACTGATGATGACTCGTCATTTTCATGTCAACACTTATTTGACGCCTTAATCGTTGATTTCTTCGTTGTCGGTAGACAACCAGAGCAACTATCCAAAGGTTACCCTTTGCGGGGCTTCTGCAAGGGTCACTCACGCGAGCGCATCAAGTAGTGCGCCCAGCTGCCATCACGTGTCGCATGGTCGGCACCTTTTCTGAATTTCTTTTTTTTTGTAAAAGTGCTTTTGGGTCTGAATTTTTCTTTTGATTTTTTTTGGCTTTTCAGTTTTTGCTTTGTTTTTTTGCGAACCACGGCTGTGCTTCTCCGAAAAACTGTGTGCTTCCATGAGAAGCATGAATTTGCATCTTGTGGAATCATAGATGTGCTTCTTATAAAAAATATGCTTCTTCTGGAAGAACATATTTTCTTCCATGACTGCTTTCACGAGAAGCACATGTTTGTTTCTCCAGAAAGAACAGATCTGCTTCCGCAAGAAACACACGGAAAAGGAAAAAACATGTGCTTTCACGAGAAGCTAAGATTTGATTATACAAGAAGGACAACTCAGGCCAAAATATGTGCTTCTTGGAAAGGGGAAAAAGTGAAAAATAACAACCTTGCTTCTAGGCTCCGGTTTTTTCTTCTGGCTTTTGGTTGCCGTTTTTATTTATTTTTGTTTTTCTAATTTTGTTTTTCTTTTTTTCTTTCTTTCTTCTGGTTTTTCTTTTTCTTGTTTTGAAATAAGTTCATCAAAACCTATTAACATGGGGTCTTGTTTCAAAGATCTCAACGCGAGAAATCAAACGATGAAAATGGTTCGAGATTTGGACACATAGTTCAAGAGATAAAATATTTTAAACAAACAAATCTACTAAAAGAAAGGAGAAACATCCAGGATGCAACAAGTGGTGCACTTGTAATGCCTCACTTGTCAGCGTGTGAGAAAGTGATGGTAATCTTTGTAAAAAGTACTCCTTAACTAGTGATTTCAGTAGACAACGCACAATGGGATAGTTGCGTATGCTTCTTAAACAGGCTGGCCCACATAGGGGCGGTTGTTCTTCTGGTCTTGGAAACATTCCTGAATCTTCATTTGCTTTCTTTTTTCCTTTTCAGCTTTTTCCTGGTTTACTCAGCTACTCGGGCAAGTTTTTACTGGGTTGTGTTTCTTCGATTTTGTTCGGTGTTTATCTGTTTTTATTTTCTTGATTCATGTTCTTTCTTCGAAATCGTTTTCTAATTCATGACTTATTTTCAAATGCACAATTATTTTTCAAATTTATGACCATTTTTTAAGTCCATTAACTTTTCTAAATTCACGCTTTTAATTTGTAACTTTTTTAAATCAAGATTTATTTTCCAAATTTTTGAATTTCCCTAATTTTTTTGTCAAAGTTTAAAAATGTGCTCTTCTTCAAATTTTGGTGTTTTTAATTTATGATTTTTTTCTATGTCAACTGGCCAGGGAGTCAATGGTCCACCAGGTGAACTGGTCAACGGTAAACCGATTAACTGAGCGAACGAAAGGAGGCAACTGAGCAAGTGCTCACTGGTTGGGCCGGCCACCCCTGAGGGGCGTGCGAGCGCCGGTGCGCTAACTGGCGCGAAGACTATAACCCGCTTATAGTACGTATAGGTTTTGTCTCGCTAAAGCATTTTCTTCCCCCGTCGTAAACTGGGCCGACCCATTTCGTTTGTTTTTCAATCGCAGGCTACGCTCACATTTAAATTGAAATCATTAATTGAGGAGTACTTCTTCCAAAGATCACTCCCATCTTCTCAGGTTGTGACAAAGTGGCGTGCTGCATATGCGTCATTTGTCGCAACCTGGTAGTTTTCCTTTTTTCGTAGATCTGTTTATTCAAAATGTTTTATCTCTTAAACCGTGCGTCCAAATCTCAAACCGTTTTTCACCGTTGGATTCCTCGCGTCGAAATCTTCAAAACAAGATCCCATATTATTAGGTTTTGACGAACTTTCTTTTCCACGAAAAAATCGGACCGGGAGCACTATTTTTTTCCCTTTCAAAAGAGGCACGGCCGTGTCTCTCGCGAAAGCACAACCGTGCCACTCGTGGAAGCAAACCATGCCTCTTGCGAAAGAAAAAAAGACACATTTTTTTCCG